AAAGCAGTGACTTTCTCAAATGCCCCTCTAGCTGTCAAGATCTCCCCACTTTGCCTCTGTGTGTGTGTGCATGTATGTATGGGGCAGGCAGTCTAGGAGTGGAGGGGTCCAGAGAGATGACAGGCTCTGACCTCAAGGAGTACCCAGGTTTGGGGAGGGCTTATATAAACATACAACTGCAACTGTGCACAAGCTATCAATACATAGGAGGAGCCAGAAGTTTAAAGTGCTACCTGAAGGATGAACAGCAGTTAGCCAGGTAAGATTGGGACTTGGGGAAGGAAAGTGTGCAGAGGCCTGGAATCAAGTAAGTGGTGGCTCACTCTGCAAAGTCGGAAACATGAAGTCTTAAATGAGGAATGTGGGAGCCAGGTTATGAAGGGTATACTAAGGAGTCCGGACTTTGTTCTGGGTAGAACTGCTGGAAGAGCTTGAACTTGAACCTGGGAGTCACATGGTCAGATGAAGTGAATGGACTGTGGGGAGAGGGACCACACTGGAAGCAGAGAGATCCCTTGTTCAGGTAGGAGTGGTCAGAGCTAGAGCAGTGGTAGCACAGGTAAATATGGATGGACTGGAGAAAGATTTAGGACATATATTTTTTAAAGTTTTTTCACATCAAGAAGTATGTGAAGTGTTATTGTAGTTTTAGGTTTTACATTACAGTTTAGAGCAAATAGTATCTTTCTTTATGCATGCAAGTACTAACAGGATTTTTAATCCAGCCAAATAGCCCAAATCTTGGCCACCATTACATATGTAAGATGGCTTTCCATGCTGGATTCTCAGAAGTACAGGAAAAGTTATACTCCTCGTCACCTGTCAAAACCATAATCTTATAACACTCAGAAATGCCTCAAATGAACTGAAATACGTTATTTAGATGGCTTTTTAAAGACCCAATGGATTATACTGTGAATATGTTGCCTAGTTTGTTTTAATGGTTATCCAGGGTCCCTGAGTCCCTGGTGAGAAAAAATATACCAAAAGAAGATAATGGGTCCCAGGCACTATGTGAAGTGCTTTAGACATAGTATCTCTTCACAGAGGTGAGGCTGAGATTCAAACCCAGATTTGTGCAACCCCAAACCTTGAACTGTTTCTTCTGTGCTCTGCTGCTGGATTTGACAAATAGTTTTGGACGTGTTGAGTCTCAGGTACCGATAGGACACACTTGTGGAGATGTACAGAGAGAGCTGAATATACAAAACCGGGGTGGGAAGAATTCGCATTTAAGGTGATAACTGAAGAAATGAGCTCGTCTAGGGAGTGAGAAGAGGATTGGGAACAGACCCGTGAGGGACACCAACATTTATGGGAGGCGGAGGAAAGGCCCATGCAGCCAGGGAACAGTCATCCAAATACTGCTTCCTCTTTTTCCTGTGTTTTCTAGTTCCCCTCAAAGACTAAATCCCAGGTCAAAACAACATAGGTACCAATAAAACCTGACTTCTGATATTACCCTCATCCCCGTCTCATATACACACAGCTTTTCCCTTTTACTTTTAGAACCTTTCCCAACATAAGAAGGTTTCTGAGTGTTGCCAGAGGTCCAGTGAGGCACTTCCTGGCAAACTCAGAGCCTGTTAATGCAGGGGTGAGCTGGAAAGTTGTTGCCTCAGGCAGATGAGGAAGTCAAGAACTGGCAGAGGATGACTTCCTGTCCTAGAGAAAAACATCTGTCTTCAGCTGGGGCCCTTCCATTTACTCCACTGGAGCTCTTGTTCTTCGGAGATTTTTCTTAAGCCCTCCTTCCTCCACAATCTTCCCCTCACCCCCAAGCCTCAGCCCTTTTGGTTTTCAGTTTCACCAACAAAAGAAAGAGAGAAGCAAGTATCAGGTTTCTTCTTCCTTTTCCCTTTAGGCATAGTTTTTGTTTGAGCTCTCAGCCCAGTTGTAATTTCAGAGCCCTCCCCTGTGTGCTGGGAAATCTAGGAGAGGCCAGCAGGTTACTTGTTTGGGGATTAAGCCCAGGAGGAAATCAGCCACACTCTGATGGTAGCTGGCAGGCTAGTTCTTCTGTGAAGTCCAGACATACTTGCCTGATCCCTGGGAAGTTTGGTAACAAAGAGGATTATTCTCAGCAATCATTGGTTTGCTTCCCAAGTTGAACATTTTTGTTTTAGCAGAAAGAAGTGGTCTCTGTAACTGGTTATTCTAGACAGACTGTAAAATTGTTCCTGAGGCAGAAGTATTTGGAAAGACAATTTTGGTGTGTAGGTGGTACACACAATTTGTCTTATTACCTGTTCTACCATAATATTCTTGATGTCCTTTCAGAACTTGGAAACAAAGGTTATATTTAAAAGATATTGCCAACAATGAAATCAGTCCTGAGAGAGTGATACTACTTATAGCACTGATGAGATCGAGTGAAAAGCTTTCTACCTTATTGACCTTGGGGGTGAGCATTCTTTCTCCTTTCCCTTTCACTTGGATAACTCGTATTCATTGAGACTGGACTCAGCACCTCCAAAAAGCCATCCTAGCCACCTTATTCTTTTCTTGCAGCGCTTGTGCAGATTTTGGTCATATTTCTTATACATTGTGCCCATATCTTCTATCTTCCCCCCTCCCCCACCGGACCATATAAACTCCAGGAGGGGAGGGACTATTTTAATATGTGGGTCTAGCCCAAGGCCTGGAATATTCATCATTTGCTGACTGAATGAGTATTCATTTTTGGGCTATTTGGAGACTTCTGATATTCATAGCTCTCCAAAGGGGGTTGCCCCAATCACCCACCCCCTTTTGTTCAGTTGGAAATTTTCTTGGATCTGAAATTTATTGCTTTTTGCTGCACTGAAGTCCTGTGTCTAATTCCCCTTCCTGAAAAGACTTTTCCCCTTGACTCTAGGGAATGTCCAACTCATTTTTATTTTTTTTTAAATATATTTTTATTGATTTCAGAGAGAGGAGAGGAGAGGGAGAGAGAGAGAGCGACAGAAACATCAGTGATGAGAGAGTCATTGATCAAGCCAACAACCAGGCATGTGCCCTGACCGGGAATCGAACCCTGATCACCTGGATCCCAGGTCGACGCTCTACTGCTGAGCCAGGCCCGGCCGGGCCCAACTCATTTTTAAAGGCCAATGTCAGTATTCCCTGGTTCTTGCCCTACAGAAGTTAACTTGCTTTCTGTAGCACATTGTGCATGTGTCTACTCTCAGCACATGTATTCTTTTATACGTCTGTGTTTACCTGCCTTTTTCTTGCCTTTTTCCATTAGCTCCTCCTTGGATCCTTGGCTCTGCTGCTTCTTAGTTGTTGATTTGGGGCAAATAACTTTACCTCTCTTAGCCTGTTTATTCATCTAAAAGATGGTATACTTCTCTTGTAAGAGCCCACTCAGGCCTAGGAGCATGGTGTATCAGACCTCTGTGAGAGGAACTCACAGAGTCTCTGCAGTTCTGACAGTCTCCTGGGAATGGTCATTTCATCCTGAGATGTGACCCTTTCCTGAGCTTGTTCTGTCGCCCAGTCTCACATTGACTCATAATGGCCTCTGCCTGTCTTACACTGGCTTGAGATCATATGTAGTCAGGCTGGGTACTTTTAGGGAGCCACACTGCCTTTGTTTTTAGGTATTGGAGCTCTTTAACACAGACCTTTAGCCTGGTGGAAGGAAGGGCAGCCAGGCTGTTGGTCTGGTTAATGTTTGTCCAGGAACTACTGGCTTTGGTTGCTTTAGGGCACCCTGGCTCAGTTGCCTCTGCTCACAGGCACATACACACAACCACAGGTTTGTTTATCACCTCTGTGCCTCCTTTGCCACCCAAGTTTTATAGGAATCTTGACCAGTGGGTAGCTGAAGCCCAAGCAGCACTGATCTCCATATCACTCTCTTCCCATTTATCTTTCAGGAGGCAATGGCGGCTTCCTGTGTCCTCCTGCACACTGGGCAGAAGATGCCCCTGATTGGACTGGGCACATGGAAGAGCAATCCTGGCCAGGTGAGGGATGGCGGAAGAGGAGGGAGGGCTTCTTGCACCTCTGCTAGGGAAAAGGTAGTATTTGGGAGAAAATCTCTGCATTTTCCCTAGCAGCCCCACCCTTGTACTCCACTTAAGGTGGGATGAGCCTGGAGAGCAATGGGAAGAAAACAATGGAAGAAGGGCCTAGTAGTGTGCCCTTCGCTTACCCAGCTGACTCAGAGGAGGGACTTAGGGGTCAACAAGGCAAGAGCATAGGAAAAAACCCTTTCCGTAACTGGATTGACACTGAGTCCTGTGGCAGATGTGGGAACCCTCTGTGTCTGGCCCTTTGCTGATCCCTAATATGTCATTTATCACCCTGTGCTGTGATCATGTCTCCCCCCACAATGGGCTTCTCGAGGGCTGGGCCTCTCTCACTAGTGCTCATTCCAGAGGTGCGTACGCAGAGTGTGTCAGGGTTTAAAGAATAACTAAGTCAAGTGTATAGACCAAGGATTAGTAAATGTTTTCTTAATGAACCAGATGGTTAATAATTTAGATTTTGTTGAACAGATTGCAAAATAGAGGTGATTATGTACTTATGTAACCATTTAAAAATATAAATTTATTTAGCTCAGGGCCGAATAAAACAAAAGGCAGATGTAGACCCTTCCAGGCATGGGGAGCCTGGGAATGGAGACTCGTTTTCCTAGGGTTGACAGAGATTCAGCATCCACCTAGGGTTGGGCATCTTCCTTGCCTTATGTCATTTCCCCCTGAACGTCTGAGTCAGAGTTTAGAGCAGTTTAGGGATTAAGTTTGGGAGGGATTCAGGCAACGAGAACAGCCTCTTCTCTCTGGGATTTTGGCTAGTGTTTGTGGTGTGGTTGCATGACCTTCTGCCTTTTTTCCCTTTTATTTCCTTTCTGCAGCTGCCTAGAACTCTGGAGCCCAGGTCTTTGTGCTCTAGGCAGGCACTGACATGGCTCAGGACAAGTCCAGGAGCCAGATGAAGGCAAGGGGTAGAGTTCAGAGCCAGGGCCAAGAACGAGGGGGGTGGAATGGGGCAGAAGGGATAGGGGAATATATCCGGATAGTTAGAGCTGTACCTAGATGGGGATCTTGAATGGCAAGGGCCTGGCACCTGGTTCTGCTTCCAATGCCATTTCTAGTTGGTTTTTAGCAAATTAACTGTCCTCCTACTTGATACCTGCTTTTTTCTCTTCTGATAGGAGGCTCTGGGTCCAGCTTCCGTCTCACTTCTCTACTTTCCTTAATTTTCTCCCCCCCCTCACCTCTTCTGCTTGCCTGATCCCCCACAGCTTTTGGTTACATGGGTCTCTCTCTCTCCCTCCCTATGAACTTGGCCTAGGAATTACTTATCTGTGTTTCATGTTTCCCTAACCAGCTCCTCAGGGCTGGGAACCTGTCTCCATGACCTATACTTCTGTCCTGTGCAAATATATTCATCTTCTGAGCATGTAGCTGGGAACATGTTATTAGTTTTTTGCTGGGCCCTGCTGAGATTGTTGGGTAGGAAGGAACCTTGGAGATTAGTGGGATGGGGACAAAGGGTTTAAGGCTTCTGGTCCCTTCTCCTAGACTAGAACCATCTTCCATTGTCTCTCCCCACTGCATGGATGACTACAATGGTATGTTCCTGCCCCCTTCCCCTATCAGTTACCCTCAGAAGAGCAGTTTCTGGCCCAGACCAACAGAGCTGAAACCCTCTGCTTCTCTCACCTGGCAGGTAAAAGCAGCTATTAAGTATGCCCTGAGTGTAGGCTACCGCCACATTGACTGTGCTGCTGTCTACGGCAATGAGACTGAGATTGGGGAGGCCTTGAAAGAGAATGTGGGGCCTGGCAAGGTGAGGACTGGGCTTGCAGAGGGATAGGGCAAGAGATCTAAGAGGCTGGGGGTGGGGGCTGGGGCCTGGATGGAGGGATCTGGCATCACCTCCCTTTTAATTCCTCTCCCAGAGGTGAGACTTGGGTGCCCATGCCTCTTCTCATTATGGGCCCTGCCCCTTTCACCAGGCGGTGTCTCGGGAGGAGCTGTTTGTGACTTCCAAGCTGTGGAATACTAAGCACCACCCCGAGGATGTGGAGTCTGCCCTCCGGAAGACACTGGCTGACCTCCAGCTGGAGTATTTGGATCTGTACCTGATACACTGGCCTTATGCCTTTGAGTAAGCTTTGCCAGGGTCTTTATCCAGGGAATTAGGGGTTGGGGCGGGGGGGGGTCAAGTTAGTAACTTAATAGTAAGTCACAGTAGCAGAGCAGGATAGGAACACTATCTGTGTGGCAAGCTGAGGAACTTGGCCTGGGAACTCAGCCCTTTCTGCTACAGCAGCCAGGAGTTTAGCTACAGAAAAAGGAGTGCAGCTCCACATGGGGTGTATCCTCGGGTATGCATGAGTGGTTCTCCTGCTCCCTTTATTCATTCAGGAAAGGTACTACCTTCTGCTGAACTAGGCCCTGGGGTTGGAGTAAATAATAAGTTCCAGCAGAGGGTGTGAAAGGAGCCTACCATCAGCTCTGTGCCCTGTGCCAGAAGAAGGCTGCAAGAGCATGCAACTCTGAGGAGGAAGGCATTACGGAAGACTTCCCAGAGGAGAGGAGATATAATCTGCCTCTGGGAAGAAGAGGGGGACTGGCCATTCCGTATAGAGTGAACACCTGGGTCATGATCTGGAAGGGTGAAAAACCGTGCTTATTTCTCATTCTTGGCTCTTTGCCCTTTCTGGGCTTGGAGTATGGGATATAGAGTGGCTGGATGGGCGGGTAAGGCAGAAGCCTGGCATTTGTGCCCACTCTTGAGGAGCTGTCTTTCACTCAGGCGAGGGGATGACCCTTTCCCTAAGAATGCTGATGGGACTATCCGCTATGACTTCACTGACTACAAGGAGACCTGGAAGGCTCTGGAGGCACTGGTGGCTAAGGGGCTGGTGCGGGCGCTGGGCCTGTCCAACTTCAACAGTCGGCAGATTGATGATCTGCTCAGTGTGGCCTCTGTGCGTCCAGCTGTCCTGCAGGTGAGCACAGCATAGCAGGTCAGTTGTTTTGAGGGGGTGTATGTGCAAAAGCATGAGTGAACAGATGATGAGTCTACTTCATGGAGATGGCTAGCAAGTTGTTAGAAATGTTGGTGCAGGATTCCTCTGCATAAAGAACAGCATTGAAGTGTGGGGTGAGAATGAAATGGACTGTGGAAAACAGAATGAGGAAAGCAGCTGAAGGGGGGGAGTCAGCAGTGCAGGGTTGATCTGGATGGTGCAGCCAGGCAAGCTGAATGTGGCCACCTAATGATGATGGGTTGTTTCTTGTCTCAGGTGGAATGCCACCCATATCTGTCTCAGCATGAGCTGATTGCCCATTGCCAAGCACGCGGCCTGGAGGTGACTGCTTACAGCCCTTTGGGCTCCTATGATCGTGTTTGGCGTGATCCTAATGAACCTGTCCTGTTTGAGGAGCCAGTGGTCCTGGCACTGGCTGAAAAGTATGGCCGGTCTCCAGCCCAGATCTTGCTCAGGTGCTGGCAATCTTGGGGAAAGGACGTCAGGTCAGGGAAAGGGCTCCAGGGTTGGGAGGCAAGGGTTTAGGGGTTCCTTATCCAAGTGCTTGGATAAAGCTGAGACTCTTGCCATGTGATCTGTGGAAGGCCACTCTGAATCATGTTCCCCACTCCAGTGGGGCTCAAGGGCTCCAGGAGCTTATAGAAAAGGCTGCATGGAAAACAAAACAATGCTTATTACGAATACTGACTCCTCTTCTTCATCTACCTCAATCCCCTACCTCAGGTGGCAGGTCCAGCGGAAAGTGATCTCCATCCCCAAGAGTGTCACACCTTCCCGTATCCTTCAGAACATCCAGGTATTTGGTGATGGGTCCTGTCTTCTTTAGCCGACTGGGACACAGTCTGGCCCTGACTCTGCCAGGCTAAGAAGGCAATGTTCTGGAATCCGAGTTCCACTCACAAAGCTGGCTTTCCTGACCCCTACTCTCCATCTCCAGGTTTTTGACTTCACCTTTAGCCCAGAAGAGATGAAGCAGCTAGATTCCTTGAATAAAAATTGGCGATACATTGTGCCTCTGCTTACAGTGAGTATGTTTCACACCCACAGTCAGTGAATGTTAGATTTGGAGCAGGATTCTGGCCCAAGTCTGGCTTCAACAATGCCGGTCAGAAAGAGGCAGAATGGTGGTGTTGGCAGGATTACTGTCCTGGACACAATGGGTTCTTTTTATTCAGCTAGGGAAGTAGTATGGCTCAGGGGTGAGGAGTAGAGCCAGTGAGTCCCAGTTCTGTTTTTCTGTATCTTATAAGCTAGAACGTTATTTAGCTTCTCTAGGCCTAAGCTTCCTCTCTGTAAAATGATTCTAGTTCCTGACACATAGAAAAATCTTAGTGAACGATATAAATGAAGGGAGCCTAAAAGGCATTCTCAACCTTGTTAGAGGGGTTAAAGTTGCATTGAAGCCTATTGCACATAAGTAAATAAATAGTTCCTTCTCAGCTTAGACTGCAAACTATGTACCAGGCTATGGGTTTGGTGGGAATGCTGTTGATACTGTGGCATTCTCTGAGGCTGGGGCCCTGTCACTGCCATCTGGCATTATACTGTATGTATACAAGTGAGGTTCAGGAAGTTTGGGGAAAAGATGCCCTGTGTCTTTGACATATTAATTCCTAATGGGTTATATGTCTATCTCTCTTTCCAGGTAGATGGGAAGACGGTGCCAAGAGATGCAGGGCATCCTCTGTACCCCTTTAATGACCCATACTGAAACCACAGCTTCCTGGTTTCCTGTCCAGATCTCCAGCTACGAGGTACTGCCACCCCCTGAAAGAGCAAGTTAATAAAGCCATTGGAACATCTACACTGCTTATTGTGTTATTTGTCTGGTTGGACCTGGGATGGAAACCATTTTCTTTGGGGATACTGGGTACTACCTGCCCTGGTACTGGAGGAACCAGGATGGAACTGAATTCTATTTCTGCTTTTCTGAATTAGGTACATTAGTGGACTGGCGCCATCTACTGGCAATTCTTAGCACTGTCAGCTACCTCCCTATAGCCCCCAGCTTTCTTGCTGAAAATCCCCCAAAATTGCTCACCTCAGCATTGATAACAGAGCAATGAGAGTTCTGTGCACTGCTGGGCCTGAGTCTTGAGTTCCCACCCTATCCCCTACCCTGGTCAGTGCCCAGGCTTAAGAGTATGAAGAGCCAATTTAATTGCTTGCAAAATCATGGAAAGGGGACAGGCTTTTTCTCTCAAACACTACAGTCTGTGTCCATAGGCTACCTGAAGGAAGCAGAGTCAACCCCAAAGCTTACCACTCTGTACCTAAGGTCCTATCTTATATACTTAATAGTCTCACTAGAGGCCACAGATTTTTAGGAGGGTTTTATGAAAATCCCTGTAAACTCCCGTCACATAAAACTCATTTTAGTTTTCCAGTCAAACCACAGCTCTTCATTGAACAAATAATTATTGGGTATTTATATGCGTTAGGCACAATGCTAGACCCTGGGGATATAGCTATAACCAAGACACATAGGTCCCCATAGTCTACTTGAGGAGAGACTTTAAAGTAATTGCATAATTAGTTTAATTACAGTTGGAAGAAGTGCTGTGAAAAAGTACAGTGAGAAGCCTACTGTTTTAATCAACAGATCTGAAGGATGAATAGGGATTAATTAGTTAAATGAAGTGAGAGTAGGAATAGTGTTCTGTACAAATTGGGTAGCTTGAGGGAAAAGCCTTGAAACTGGAAGAAGTGGGAAAACCTAAAGATGGCTTGTGTGACAGAAACTGAAAGTGAGTGAAGGTAGAATGACACAAAGTAATGCTGGAATTAGGCAGGGGCTAGTAGTTGAGGGCCTAGGAGAGTGGGTTAAGATTTGTTCTTTATTTTATCCTGAATGCTCCTGGAAGCCATGGAAGGGTTTTGAGGGAACAGCATGGTATGATTTATGTCTTAGAAACAACCCTGGTGCAGTGGATTAGAGGGATAAATAAATGGAAGGAAGCATGTTGGAAATTAATCTTTTTGTCTCTGACCCCTTTGCCCACTCTACAGGCTAACACCTATTACTTAAATGTTCAGTTTAGCTGTTACTTCCCTAGGACATCTTTCCTGACCTCAGCTTACTATGTGATTTCATAGTTCCCTGACACTTTCATGATCCACATTTCCACAGTTATAAAGTAGTTTGAGTATGATGTGTATTAGTGTGCTGGGCTGCCAGAACAGTACCACAGAATGGATGGCTTAAACAACAGAAATTTCTTTTCTCACAGTTCTGGAAGCTATAAGTATAAAATCAAGATGTTAGGTGACTTGGTTCCTTCTGAGGGACATGAAAGAAGGATCTGTTCTAAGCCTCTCTCTTTAGCTTGTAGATGACCCTTTCTTTACATTGTCTTCTCTGTGTATGCATCTGGTAAGGACACCAGTCACTGGAATAGGGCCCATCCTAATGACCTCATTTTAACTTAATTACCTCTTTAAAGACCCCATCTCCAGATACAGTCACATTCTGAGGACTAGTGTATAAATTTGAGAGGAGAGGACAATTCAGCCTATATAAGGAAGCAAAAGTTATAACATGAAATTATTCACTAATAAACTGACTACTTAAATGGTTCTTGATTCACATATCTTACCCTGATTAACAGCATTTCTCTGTTGACATCTTTGTCTAATCAGTGGATAGTATAGTGCACATTCACTGTAAAGTGAAATTGCAAATCTTAAAAAAGATGCAAGACTTTATGAAGCAATTAAAATGATGTTGGGGAACTTCACCAAAGCCATTGCAAGTGAGGATATGACAGTTAAACAAGAAAATCGAAGAGAAAGATGCTATACTTCAAAAGAAGGTGTTTGGAATATCAAAGTATTAAGGAAGTTCTTTGGGAAAACTATGAGTATTTTTGCAAAAAGGATTTTTTATATGATTATTGTTTTGAATAAAAGACTATAGTCTCACCCTAGCCAGTTTGGCTCAGTGGTTAGAGCATTGGCCTGTGGACCGAAGGGTCCCACGTTTGATTCTGGCCAAGGGCATGTACCTTGGTTGCAGGCTCAGCCCTGATTGGGGTGTGAGTGGGAGGCAGCCACTCAATGTGTCTCTCTCACATAGATGTTTCTGTCTCCCTTCTACTCTGAAAAAGTAATGGGGGAAAAATATCCTCAGGTGAGGATTCAAAACAAAAGACCACAGGCTCAGAATTTTAAAATGAGACTTGTCTTTATAAGACTACATTCCAGAATGAAGAGAGTACTTACCAGCCAGAGGCTAGCACCACCACATTCCAGTTCATTACATCAAAATTCTTTATGCACAAGTACAATTTAAGACCCCTTTCAGAAATTTTTTTGCAGTCTGCAAGAAAGGAGGGGCTATCTCATACTCAAGTAGGAAAAGGGAGGCCTGACATTCTTCAAAGGAAAGGTTGTGAAGCTGTAGTTGAAGGTTGACAAACTTTAAAAAGGATACTTGAGAAGGAGAACTGATAACATACATTTAAAAGAATTCACAGTATTTGTTCAGGAAAAGATGATCTATCAAGGAATTGTATCTCCCTCTGAAACAATGACAAGCAATGCTCTCTCTTTTTTTAATCAAAGTATAGTTAACATTATATTAGTTACAGGTGTACAACAGTGATTTGACATTTATGTACCTTATGAAGTGATCACATCAATAAGTCTAACAACCATCTGTTACTGTATGAAGTTATTACAATATTATTGACTATATTCCCTATGCTGAATATTACATTCCCATGACTTATTTATTTAGTTCCTTGTTTATTTAAATCCTCACTAGAGGATATGTTTTTACTGATTTTAGAAAGAGGGGAAAGGAAAGAGAGAACCTGCAAACTAGGTATGTGCCCTGACCAGGAACTGAACCTGCAAAATTTTGGTGTGTTGGGATGACGTTCCAACCAACTGAGTCACACTGGCCTGGACTATTTTATAACTGGAAGTTTGTACCTCTTAGCAATTATCTATATTCTTTTTAAAAAATGTATGTTTTGCCCAGCTGGGCATGGCTCAGCAGTTAAGCGTCGACCTAGGATCCAGACGATGAGGGTTCGATTCCCGGTCAGGGCACCATGCCCGGGTTGCGGGCTGCAGCCGATCAATGACTCTCTCATCATTGATGTTTCTAGCTCTCTCTCTCCCTCTCCTTTCCTCTCTCTGAAATCAATAAAGATACATTAAACAGTAAAATGGGAAAAAAAAGTATGTTTTTATTGATTTTTAGAGAGTGAGAAAGGGAGAGTGAGAGAGAGAGAGAAACGTCAATCGGCTACCTCTTGCAACCTGGACATGTACCCTGACCAGCAATCTAACCAGTGATCTTTTGGTGCATGGGACAACATTCAACCAACTGAACCACACTGGCCAGGGCATGATCTATATTTTTTATGCTCATCGTTCCATCAGCTTGAGACCCTGAGTGAGGATGACACAGAGCAAAGCCTCCAGCTGACCTGAAATGAAAATATAGTATGAATGCAAACAACCTTATTATATGAAGCTGTTGAAGTTCTGGGATTACTAGTTACCACAGCAAAACGTATTCTATCCTAATTAATACAGTTAACTAACATTTTTTTATGGTATAGACAATGACATTCACAAGAGTCTGTAATTTTATTTTTCATATTACCCTACTTTGGAATCAAGACTGCATTTGCTTTCTTTGCTATATATAAATGTATGTGTTCAACTCACCATCTTTAATTGGAAGTCTTCTCTAAATCTTATTAATAAAAATCAGGTTTTATTACTATTATAGAAAAGTTTTTGCTTTTTTTCTATATCTGGAAATATTTCTTGAAAATGTGTTAATCTCACCTATAAAACCATCTGAGCATTTTGAGAAAATGCTGGGAAGTTTTGACTCCCACTTTCAATTGTTTTATGATTTATTGATCTACTTAAGTTCTCTGTTTCTTCTTGTGCCAATTTTGGTCCTTTTTTTCCTAGGACCACTCCATTAGGTTTTCAAATTTCTTTTTTTTTTTTTTTTTTTTGCCCATAATCAAAACTTTGTTGAAAAACTGACACCAAAATAGGAGATCACTGTTGTATATTTACAAAATTAAATGTAACCACATTATCCTGGTAGATTAACTAGAATTATTGAACTGATAAGGCTTTCTGTGATATAACACAAATTCAGGAGGTTGTGTGGGTCATTAGTGTTGCTTTCTTCTAAATGAACACCCTTCTGTGAGTCTAGCCTTTCCTCCTGTTGGCTGGCACAACACTGTTGAACAACTTACACAAAGAACCACCGTCTGAGCATGGCTGAAAACTGTGGTGATCTTATAGCAACTGGGATATTTTACATCCATAAAATAAGAATTTGGACTTTGAACTAGCTGTTTCTTTTTATGTTTTTTCTTTTCCTCTTCCAAGGATGGATGTAGTAATTCTCTAGCCAAAGGCATGTTAATCCTCTCACAAGCCCAGCGGGTCAAGATCTCTCTCAAATTTCTTAGCATATGTTTTGATTGATTTTTAGAGAGAGAGGAAGGGAGAGAGAAACATCAATTGGTTGCCTCCCGTATGTGCTCCAACTGGGGATCAAACCTGCAATTTGGGTATGTGCCCTAACCAGGAATCGAACCAACAACCCTTCAGTGCACGGGAGGAGGGCATTCCAACCAACTGAGCCATCCTGGCCAAGGCACCATATAATTATTCTTAATACAACTATTTTAAAATTGTGTCCATAGTTTCTAGTTATTTTTTCTGCATTTTTTTGGTATTTGCTATCTATATATTTTTCCATATATTTAAATTTTTTTTCAAAGAACTATTCTCTACTTTTATTAATCTTTTATTTCTCT